TATGATTATGTGATATTGTGGGAGTTTCCAACCACGGTTACAAGGATTTTAAGCACGCTTCCAGCAGTGCTAGGAGTTCAATTCTGCGGCCACACGAAGCCTGCGGCTCCCCGCCCTCAGTCACGGCAATCAGTGCGGTCTGAGGGGCTTTCCCAATCGCAAGCCATCATGATAGAGCTTGGTCCTCACAACTGATGAAAAACATCAGTTGGGGTGGTGATTTACACTCGCTGGAACTAGAAGTGGAAGACAAATTTCCTCTACAAACAGTGAGTGTTCCACTTCCATGTTAGTTCCAGGGAGTGTATCTGCAATCCCAGGGACCGTGGAAGCGGACCCCATGTTGGCATTCTCATCTACCACACAGTGCTTTTCAGGGTCCATGTGGTCCTCTACAGTAGTTCCCTAGGGATTCAAGGACCTTCTCAGAAGGTACGACTGGACCCTCCAAACCTACATAACGGTGTCTTCAATCACCATCTGAGAAGGTACTTGGATCCCGAGGAGTTGAATTTGGGGGGGTCTATGATGTAGGTTAGTACTCTGCCAGGTCCAAATGATACTGACATTGCAACCGGTACAGTACTCGAGCGGTCATTTGGCTGGCCATGGTCTTGTGAGCATTGTCACATGCTCAGGCGAGGAAGTCGTCTGGGTAGCGCTTTGCCTAGTTTCAGGAATTGGCGTGAACAAAGAACTGTAGAACCAACAACCCCAGAAACTCCATGTAATATTAATATGCCTACGCCACTCCAATCTAGGCAAGTATACCATGCATGGAGTATCTGGGAACAGCACATCCACACTAGCCACACCATGCCAAAGCAGCAGCTAAAGCGCTCTGCCATCGCCTTCTTTACCGGGGAACTCCGATGCGGACAGGTGAAACCCCTCTGAGACTCTGGGCCCGAAGCAGCAACACTGAGAAGAGAAATCGACCCTTTCGTTTGGACTCGGGTGGTTCCGGACTTCGCTCACGTCCTGATCTTCTCCCTCTCGTTCTTGGCCAACTCCACGAGGCTCTGGGCCAACATCTGACGCCCTTTCCTGGGCGGACGAACGTCACCGGCCCGTGTGGATCGATAAATCACGGGCTCTCAGGTTGAGGATCTGTGGGGCTGCTGCTGGTTCGGCCCTCCGTATACTGTATAGATATAATATACTATATCGCAATCTAGCCGGATGGAAGCAAATCTGGTCAAAATGCACCTCGAACCAGACTTGCAGGGTGTCGTGAATGCCAGTTTTTCTCCTCCCAGCGTCTTGACCACCATCTTCTGCTCATTCAGATCTTGCCTGAAGCAACTGCAGCATCAGCAAATCACGCTGGGGGAGTTTGATGGAGCTTCGGCTGGTGGCTTTGCCGAGCGGCGCCGTGCAAAAAGCTGAAAACAACATCTCCTTGTTCTTCTTCACACTCCGACTCACTCACATAGGTGCATGGAGCATGGCCACAGGGAAAGACCATGAAATCGGTGGTTTTCCACTCAGGGTCATCTTCTTGGCATCTCTTGGGGTTCTTGGACTCATCTTCTTGGCTCCGCACGATCGGTCCTCACGGTCCTGTGGCCGCCCTGGTTTGGACTCCGCTCCAGCTCGAAGATGGTGGCCAACAGCTTCTCCCAGGAGTCACTATCGACGGGGTGCTATCCGGGGTGCTATCCATGGAGGTTAGGTTAGGGGTGCCCAGCTACTCCACGGCCCCTGGAGGGGACGTTTCACACCACCCAACTCCATGTGACTCCTGGTCCAGAAACTTGTTCTTCTTAGTGGTTTGATGGACATGGATTGGTCATCCACAAAATGTGGTTGAGATGAAGCACCCTCCACTCAACAGCATTTGTGGAAGCAGCAGTGGTTTGCCAACATTGGTTGTGCAACATCGAATGATGTGTTCAACTGTAGTTCCTAGCTGGAGTCTCTCAAGCCTGTAAGTCAAGTGACTTCCCTTGCTTCGCAAGCCAGGGATGGACTGAGTCCATGCGCACGGGTACTTTTTTACCCCCAAGGGGCCCAAATCAAAGCACGAGAAGCTCTCGTCCCACCCAGGCACCGTGAAGAACTTGACCCAGGCCCCCCCCCTCTTCCCCACGGCTCCACCGGCTTCGGAAGCGAACGGCGACGACGTCGGACATCCTGGACGTCGGCCTCCGCGTGATCCATGGGACTGGCATACCCAGTGCGTCCCAGGCAAACTTATAAGGAACCAGGGATTCGTTCGGTCCTATGGTTACTAGTCTTTGGAACCACTGGGACTCCCAGCTATATAGTCTATAGTGGTAACTGGATGCCCTGGGATAGATATGTAGACAAATACAATCATTTGGGATGGTTGATGGCAGGAGTTTCAGGGATCCACCCCAAGTTCTTGCCAACGTCCGCGGGCTCAGCTTGCGTCACGCATGGACAACGTCGCACGTCCGCGTCGGACAAAATCCAGAGATGTCTCACGGTCGACACGCCAAAGCCGAGCTGCTGAAGCCGCTTGATCTCCCTGTCCTTCGCAAAGGCGTCCTCTTCAGTCTCTGCTCCCCCTCAAAGACCGCCGGGGGGGGAGACCCCGACCACCGGCTGATCGAAGCAACAAGTTGCTTCATGCCCGTCACACAAGCAACTTACACTCCTGAAAACTCACATGGAACCGGGGTCCTTCATGGCACCCTCTTTCAGGCTGTTTTCCTCTACAAACCTCGTTGTTTTCCGGTTCTATGTTCATCTTGCCAGGGTTTTTTGGAGCTTGAAACGTCTGGAGCGCCAACATCGTCCCATCGACCCCGGCCGATGATGGGGTCGCGGGCGCCGAGTGCTGATAGCGCCAATGCGAATAACCTGATGCTGAAAAGCTGAGATAAACACAGTATGTGATGCCGGTGCACCCCGTCTATCCATCCCGACCTCCACCAACAAAACCCCTGCCCCACCCACAGAATACATTTCACACACCAACCTGGAATGTATTGTCCGATAGTTTTCCACCAACAAGTTCGCCGTCCGACGCCTCCCCCAGCACGATCGCCGGCGATGGCTTGCCGCTTGCGCGAGCGCGCCACGGTGGGGCTCAAGTTGGACTCGGGGTCCATGACCTGGGGCACTATCAGCAGAAACTGGAAAGCATGATGGACAACCTTCTAGAACCCGCTGGAGAAACTAATCATACGGTAACAAAAACGGCATACATATAACATCAAATCTAGCGCCATCACACACCAAAACGCCGTGGAACCAGCTTCTGAAACCACCCCCAAAGAACCTGCAGAAAGCGACCCCAAGCGACTCGCGACTCGCCCTCGCCGGTCCCAAGCGATCCCAAGCGACTGGCACCACCGGACGTTTCGAGCTCCGCCGTGGACCGCTCGCTCTCGGCGCGGGAGTGGAGGGCTCGGCGCTCTCGTCTTCGCCGCCTTCAGCGAACACGGCGCGGCGTCAAGGGGAGATGCATGCAAAACAACAATCAACTCTCACCCACACAGTAAAGCAGTGCGATAAGATAGCTGATAGCTTTATGTTCCAGCACATTCAAAGGGGTTTCCTGGCTGGTTTCGCCCCAGCCCACTACTTAGGGATCTCCATTGGACACCCCTTGAAGGTGCAGGGGCATTCATGTGTTGCTTTTTTTTCGAGAAAAATGTACCATGAAAACTTGACATGTCGGAGATCATTCAACATATCACAAAATCAGTCATGACCTACGGGGTGGTTGATTGAAGGGGGGTCTGGGGCGGCGTTTGTTCTTCCAAATCCCAATGGGGTCGTGTCTACCCTCTTGACCTGGTCAAGAGCAGGATGAGAAGATCTCAAGAGGTGTTCCCGATATCTTTCATCCAGCAGACTCGGCCAAGGGGGGTTTCACTGGCCATGGACACTATCAGGCGACTCCGACTTCAGGCACTCATGAGCCTGGACACTATCTGACAAGAAGTGGCCAAATCATGCCAAATCAGTCGCATGCATGAATCGTGCTGACTTGTCACATGGAAAAAAAGACATGTCCCCGTCGCAGGACAGGAAAGCGATCACCCAGGTGGGGAGCTTGGGGCATATCGATCAACATCTATCAATCAACTTGTCTTATTACTGCGGACTCGTGATATGTGTTTTTCAACCTCCCCAAGCCTGAAGAGGTTTTGCAATCCATGTCTGCTCTTTCTCATCAAAGGAGTCATGTTTCTGGGGATGGCTTGGAAACCCTACCTTCCCCGCCACGCCAAGCTGATTCCAAGATGCCTAAGCCGCCGCTCTCCTCGCGCTTGGACGCCGTGGGCGTGGGTGCTGTATCCGACTCGTCCGCCATGGCGGTGGCGGAGGCCGAGCTGGATGTGCTAAGGAAGCTCGGAGAAAAAAGAAACAGATCTCACCCCCAGGTCTGGGGATCTCACCCCCAGGTCTGGGGGATGGAGATGGATTCCACTTGGACTTCGAGCTTTCGGTGACCACAGGTCTGCGGGGGGATTGATCCATGAGGAAAAAATCGGTCGATAAATCTCCGGCTCCGGACAGCCAGCGCAAGCACGACATGTCGGGGACGCCGTCCTCTTGGCATTAGAAACAGCTGGGCCCAACAACCCTCAACTGACGAGCTGTTGGAGGGTACTGGTGAGATTTGCTTGGATCTTGGGAAACTCGATCCGTGACTCTATCCTTGACTCTTGTTTTAGAGGTTTTAGGACCCTAGGACCGCAGGACTCCCATCAAGTAGGGTACTGTCGCTCAAAGGGAGAAGAGTTGAAGAGAACTTGCCCATCGCTCAAGGGGTCTGTCATCCGCATGTCGGTCTGGCATGGTTCCATCAGGCGCATGAGCCTAAAGATCAGCAGGAAGCTGGAGTCCCCTCAAGCATTTCAATCTCATGATGTCCACCGTTTGGTGGTTGGAAAAGAGCTGGCCAAAGGCAGAATATGTCACTGACTTTCCTCAGTCAAACCTTCCCAACGCTGGATCCTCAGTCAAACCTTCCCAACGCTGGATGTCCAAAGCCAACCTGTTGATTTCAGCGGCCCTGCCTGAACCAGCGATATGAGAGCCTCACGCCGAAAGGGGACCGCGGCGGGCCATGACATCTTGAAGCATAAGACCAGCTACATTGAGGTCTAGGAAACAACTACCAGGGTCACAAATGGAGACCTGTTAGGGGACCACGGCGCCCAACAACCCTCAACTAACGTCCTCTGGGTACTGGTGTAAGCAAGAATCATTTACTGTTATGTATAGGTCCCCAAAGAGACATGTTTGAAGCTTGCCAATGACAAAACATCCTTGAACAAGATTTCACTGGTCCGGTCTATCTCTACATCTCTCTACCTTCAAACAGGCTGCCACGAAGATACCTAAGTCCCTAGGTCCCTAGGGATCCAAGTACCTTCTCAGGTACGGTGATTTCTCAAGAAGGTGATTGGAGACGTACGTGCCATACTTTCGGCTCCAGTCGTCTCGAACCCGGTCGCCGAGCCGGTGCCATGTTCCTCAGACTGTTCCGGTGACCGCTCCGCACACTCCCGAGGACCTCCGGCACCCGGATCGGGCGTGACTCACTCCGAGAGGCCCAGAATGGGCCCCAGGAAGTTGGCGAAGGAGAAGGCTGCCTCGCTCACGCCTTGCATCGTCCCCTGGGGCGAACGCAAGAGACCAGACGTGGAGTCACCAAAAGCAGCGACCGAATGTGGAGGCACCAGGAGAAGCAGCGGTTCGACCGAAGGTGCAGCTGTGGAGGTGAAAACTGCATCGATGGGGATGGAAGCTAGAGACCCTCTTTCACGGGCTCCCTGAGACGGGCGTATAGTATCATGTATCATGAGTCCTGAGCGGTTGGGGTGGGTGATTGTAGTATCCCAAACACTCCACAGAATCAATAGGTATATAGTATATTCATTGACCCCATGTATAGGTAATAAACCCCTAGACTTCCAAGACCATTTAAAAAATGGTTGACCTGGTTTTTGTAGTGTAACATCCTTAGTTGATTCGGTAAAGCCTATTAAAATAATGGTTGTTGGAAGCCTAGGGTAACTATTCCATACATGGAGTGTCTGGGTATCATATTGCGTTTTTAGAGACCGCACTGGGTGGTTCCTGAGGGGTATCCCCTCGGTGGTCAACCAACCCATACTTGGATTTGCCGAGGACATGAAGAAAAACAACATACCACATGAAGAAACCTCGGAACCCCCCCTATCCCCCACCTGGACCCTCCAAAGTTCGAAAATGGGACGTGACCCCATAAAAACAGGTACGACTGTACCCATTTTCCGAGGTACAAACTGGTCAACTCCAGGTACCTCCAAACCTCCAAACACCACATCGGTACATCTACCGCTGTGAACTACCCACCTCTCCCAGCCTGAAGTCGTTGTGGCAGGTGGCTCGTGTACAGCGCACGTGCGGGCGTGCGGATCAGCGGTGCTGGAGCAATGGCTAAGACCTCACCGAGAGCATCCCGAAGCGAGCTTCGGGGGTCGGACGCCGGGAGCAGTGGAGCGGAGTGGGAAGGTGGGGGGGGGAGGTGACCGGAATCGATCATGATCTGGTACTTCAGCATCTAGTGGAGACTTCTTGTCCAGTTCAGCCTGCAGGAAAGCTTGGGTGGGTTTTGAGTCCCATCTAGCCGTGGATGTTCTGGGCACCCCGACTTCCTCCTGGATAGTGAGCGGTCCTTATGACATAGGGTGGTTCGTATGATGTGTTCATTAGGGATTGGGTATTCCATGGAGGCCCGGTGGATGATGGTTAAATGGCATCTTTGACCCTACTGGGACGCAGCTCACTTCTTAGATGAATTGAGCTGATTTCGATCATTTCATCCACTCCTTCTGCCAGGCCCTTGAACTTCATCTCTTCGCAGGGTAGGGTGAACGGTGAAGACTGTTGCAAACTGGTGGTTCAAGAGATGGGTTCACACTCCCCCCCGTCCCCAACAAAGTGCCACAAGATCCACGTGTGCGAAAGTGTGCCACCTTAAAGCTTGCTGGAAGCCTTTCGCTCTTGACTCACACCAAACCATCTATGGGACGGGAATAGTTATACCTACATGCATGGGTCATGTTCATGGTTCTTCAAAGTGACCGAACTTGATAACCTGGTTGGTTCGGTCACGAACAAGCCTCCTGTTCGGGTCACGAAAAGGAACCTTCAAGTTCGGTCACGTACTGAAGAAGCTGGTTCATGGGTCAATGTCTGTACCCTAGACTTCCAAGACCATTAAAAAAAATGGTTGACTTGGTTTTTGTAGTGTAACATCCTTAGTTGATTCGGTAAAGCCTATTAAATTAATGGTTGTTGGAAGCCTAGGGTGTATATAACTTTTCCAGTCCCATGCGTCTGGGCCAGTCAGCCAAACAGCTGAAAACCATGCTGAACGTCTACGCGCTAGTCATGCGGGCTGTAGTCACTGTAGTCTTGAGTAGCCCCACCATCCAGGGCAAGACAAAGGCCTCAGTGAACAAGCGGAGGCTGACGGAACTTGAGAGCACCAAGAAGCATCTGATACCCATAGGGTCCAGGTACCTCGAGGATGGTCTATCCGAGGTGAGTTCGTACTTCCAAAGAATGGTTGAACTTGGGGCCGAACGCAGGACATCTGATTCGGATGGTGGAGCCTTAGGGATAGGAATCCAACAAAAAGAGATCGCCTCAATGGGTAAACTGACAGGTGATCGGAACGCCGGACGGAGGTCTCCGGATGCAGTCGCCACACCCATGAAACAAACATCATCTTGTCAGACAGCCAACAGCTTCAAGGTCTACACTCCCTGAAATCATCCCTTAATTATGTGGAAAACTGGCAGTTTGGCCCCTGAAACAACTTCTGAAGTGACCCCTGAAATCTGAAAATCCCAAAGAGCTGGATTTCGCTCCACTAACCCGTGATTCTTTCAGGTGTAGTCATGGGCCGGTTTGCCAAATCAAACCGTTGACGGTGTCTTTAATCGTATGACAATCTCCAACGTATCCTGTGGGAACTGAAGTGGTGTAAAATGGTAATAAATCTGGTCAATTGGTTCTGCATTTGCTGCACATCCTCTTGGGGGAAGTCGGTCCCAAAATAGAGCTCTAATTCAGTGACATGAAGCGGCCTCCAGTTCGAATCAGTTAGAAGAAAGCCCCCTTGATTGGGTGATGGAACAGGGAATTCCTGGTTACACGCACGGAAGCGCAAAGCTGCGCGTGATGGAAGACACTGGCACGAGCTAGGATGTACAAGGTACAAAGCACAGTAACTAGTAGGGGTTGACGGTGTTGACCATCTCATTCAAACTCGGCAAATGCCGTCAGGAAACCAAATTTCAAATTTGCATCTTTGCGGCCATCTACGGCCAGTGCATGCTTGTTGAGCCAAGTCTCAACACAGGAACCACCTGTCAAAAGAAACAGAATGTGTGGCGGATTTTGAGGTCTGTGTGCCACAAATTGACTGTTCGGGGGTTCAACTCACTTGAAGAATCTGTGTCAGTGGGTTCAATCTTGCCAAGTCAAGGTTGAGCATGTTTGAACATAAACATGATTGAAACCACCACCCCACCACACCACCCAAGCACATCACTCTGAGCGCCAGCGATGTTTTGATCCCCCCATAAACATCATAAACGCTTGGCCAGCCGCTGAGGGATCCCAACAGAACGCTTCAAGAATCCACTTACAATCTGAAAATTTTGGGTGTTGATTTTGGACCTATCCTATCACCAGCGCCCAGTGAATGATGATATAGATGCCGCAACATCTCGAAACTAGTGATTTGCTTGTGCACTGACGGTTGCAGGCAATAGGACAAAAACAAGTGTTACTGATTACCATCCACCTATCTTAAATGCTGCGACTCGCAAGGAATGAGGGTGGCTGGATCCGGTCAGCCAGTAAGTCAGCCAAACAAGTAGCTTTCTGAAACCGCTCACATGTGACCAACAAACGGTGGATCAATCAGCGGAGCAAGTGAGGGTTCCGCCACGCAAGCATAGATCGTCTCCCCTGTCCCCGAGAAGAAAACAACACCGCCCAAACGCTCCGTTCACAGCCCTCGGTCCCTCAAAACCGGATTTGAGACCCCAGACCCCTCCAAAGGATTCGGGTCCAGGGTCACGTCTGGGCGGTCGATCAACAGAACACCTGCCACGCTGCGGACATGGAAAGCCTCACACGTGTCCTGCGCATGGAAAGCCGTTCTGCGCACGCGGAACCTGCGCATGCGGGCCACCAGCGCTCGCCTGGGCGCCAACTCACTTCTGACCAAGCTCCTGGGCCGGACGTGGAGGATGGTCCGACGGGCCTTCCATGAGTGCACTGGGATCTGACCCGGATCTAAAGACATGCTGTTGGTCAAAGAGGGAGACCGGACACCTCCCAGGTCGAAGCCCCTGGAAGAAGGACAAATATAGACCTCTTACATCCTGTTACCCATTGGATCCCATTGGGGCGATCGGGGATCTCGCAAACAGTAATTATTTCATCAAGGAGCTTCGAGTTGCTTTTCTTGTATAAGGCAATCTGCCCCCAGCTTGAGGCCTCTCCTCCAAGCGCGATGGCAGCCACACCCCCACACCTCAGCGACAAACCAAATCATTACCAAATGCCCAGCGCTTGTACTTCCAGAGAATGGTCGTTGCCTGGTGCCTTGCAGGACGTCCGATTCGGATGGTCCCTGGGCCGGATGCATCTGGCTGTGTCAAGACATGGAATTAGGCAAGTGCTTGGCCAATTCAGTCCAGGCCAGCCATTCGTCTGACCAACCTGAGCAAGAGACATAAGGCTCCGTCGGCTGAATCGGCCGCCCATGGCCTCATGTAGCAGCGAACAGCGGTGCTGCGTCCGTCGCCGCTGCGAGAGCCAAGTGGTCGGTGAAGGTTCTTCAGGGATCTTCAGGGGTCCCAGGTAGAAAATTGGGACACGAAGTGATGGAGGCCCAAGGTCGGCATGGACACCCCGAATCACACTCTAACTGACTCTGACTTGACCCACCTTCTTGGTGGTTTTTGGCAGGGCCCCTGGTGCTATCTGGCGCTTGGCAGCTGAAGACTTGAGAGAGGAGGGGGTGAACGAAAGGTAGCAGGCAATCACAAGTAACCCTGGTAGAAGTCCACGACGGCGTGAACCGGCGCAGGGGGGATTTGATCCAGGGGGGGGGGGCCCCCCCCCCCCGACGAACAGAATCAACTCTTACAGGACCAAATTCAATGCACAATCCCAACTCCTGATTGTAATACATTTTTGCTAAAGCAAGGAGAACTCAGGTAGCTCAAGCTACCTTTCGTGATCAGTCATTTGGACTTGGATCGTAAGAAGGTGTGAACTTTGAGGTGAAACCACATCATCCGTGCATCAGCATGAGTTCTTACTTCAAAAGCCCATGAAAGGTGGCTCCTTTTTTTGGGATGCCAAGCACCGTATCGGATTATCGATCATGAAAAGCTTCGTCTATCAGCAGCCCGTCAATACGTACAGTATATACCCTGAGAGTCAAAGACTATACAAAGAATGGTCTTTAGGTGACCCGAAAAGGAATATCCTTTACTTCAGCCGGTCAAAATATCGAAAATATAGTCTTTGGGCTTCTATAGGGTATAGACTGTAAGAATTGTGCACATAGCCCGGCTGGTAGTTGGGCCAAGTGCCAATCTCATCATGTCTCCCTCAAGTTTTTATCTGCGACCTTTCAGAAGCAGTTGCCTTCGAATGGAGAACAGGTATTCGGTACTTTGTCCTGACCTTCCACCTTTCAAAGAAGTGTTTCTTCTCGTTCTGACGGTCTAGCATTGCAGGGGGTCCAATGAGGACGTTCAGGGTTGGGATAATTTTCGGGTGGTTGGAGCCGGATCCACTGCCACCTTCGAAGGTAAGACCAAACCCTCCAAGTACACAGAATCGAAAAGAATGACCTTCTCAGAGGGTGTGTGGATCGCGACAAAGGCTCCCAATTCCATGAAACTGCTTCGTTTTTGACCCCTTCGAGTCCTTCACCTCAGCGCAGAAAACAGCCTCCAGCTCGCTCTTCGGTCGAAAACGAACCATGGGCGTCGAGGAGCTCCAGTCAAGGCGAAGAGGCCGATGACCATCCTGGGATCGAAGGAGCTCCGTTGCGCGGAGGGCGAAGGGGTCTGGCTGTATGACTCACACTCTGCTTTTTGTGATGTAAACGGTTGAATCTTCCACCCCACCCCCAAGTGAAGGGGTTTTCAACTGGGGGAGCTTTATGAATCAACATTTTACACTTATTTGGTCAGTGTTCTGATGGCGTCTAGTTTAGCAAGTGCCTTTTGTGATACTTTTTGCCACACTACCCAGACCATACGTGCCATACCGCCGTGGTCCAACTACTGCAAGTAGGGTCCGTGGTGGAACTTTGCGAAAAACTCGCGCCGCCGCAAGAACGCACGACTCCATTGGGAAACACCTGACTTTTCCGCGTTGGACATGGTTCAGACTTTACTGAGCACCGGCATGATGAGGGACATGGGAGGATACTCCTTAAGTTCCATTCAAGGGGAGTATCCTCTACACCTACCCGCTAGACCTCCAGGTCGTACCTCCGAAGATCGGGACTGACCCCTGCACGCCCCCCAGTCCGATCGAACCGAAACAGAGGTGGGGCAGGAGCACTAGGGCCTTCAGAACGCACACGAGCTATCTGGGACTGGCAAAGTAACTTGTAAAACGCTCTTGACATACACTGCCTGGAATCATTCTGGAAGTGGTAAAGATGTTTGATTGGATGACCATGTTCCTCATTTTCATCTAGAATCAGGTGTCCATGGTTTTCCACTTCCATGATGATTCCGGGGAGTGTATATTCATGATGGATGGGTGCCCTGTGGTGCCTGGGCCTTCCAAGTCTTCCCCCCTTTTTCGCTGCCAAAGCCACAAAGAGACCACGCCAAACAGCACCGACGTGGCCACTGGAGGTAGTCCAAACTGCGGCACGGCGGAGACCGTGCCGAGCTGGCGGAAGCTCGAAGCTTCCGCAGCTCAGCTCCCCGCAAGGAAACCAAAGACGTGAAACGAAAAAAACATGGAAAGAAAAACACGTGGAACGAACGAGTCAGAGGTCAACAGGAACTCCTTAGGTGGAACCGGAGGAATGGGGGAAAGCCACGAACTGCGACGTTTCGGAAGGGAAGCGGCCTCAGTGGTGAGCACGATGGGAGGGACCACTTCCAAGATGGCCAAGAGCAAGGCGGTCACGACCTGCCAAAACGGCCCCTGCGGTAAGGCCCCCCCACAAACCGAGCAAAACACATGGGTTTGCCCGTCCTAGCAAAACACATGGGTATTGTATCATGAACACCTCTATTTGTTCATGGGAAACTGAGGCCCACTATGGCCCACTGGTATCAGAATACTCTCCGTGCGACTCGATGAAGCTGATGAAGTTCTTTGGACTGACAGGTGCTCCTTCTAGTGTGTTCCATACCCTACAGCTCCGGTCCAGTGACTCCTAAGTGCAGAAACGCCTGGAAGACCAAGCTTAACTGAGTGCGGAACCCCCTCCGAAAAGTAGATGCACTGAAAACTAACATAGACCCTGAAAACCACTGGTTTGTAGAGGAAAACAGTCTTTGAGGGTCCATGTTAGTTTTCGGGAGTGTAAAACTTATCCACTGAACTGGCTATGTCCAGGTCGAGTCTCCAAATGTTGATGCCGATACATATTTAAATTTCTAGATTGCGCTTCATGAGGATTTGGCCCGACCAACGCGCGCATGTCTTTTTTTTCTGGTCGCATTGAAAAATCAAAACAGGGATTGAAGGCTCACGAGATTCACGCGAGCCTCAGACGATGGCGGAGATTTCTGCGCTTCTAGGTGTATAACACAAATTTGACGAGGTGCAAGGATTTGTTCCTACCCGCAACCCATTGAAGTGAGGATGGTTGCAGGACGGAATGTCATTGGTGGGCATGTTTTGGCCGTCATGCTTCTTCATCTACAACCTTCCTCAGTGGAAACCAATCCCCCCAAAACAGCTGAATGGCAGGTTCTTAGGCTTAACACTTTTCCTGGATGAGGTATTTATACAACATTATACATAGTCAACTTCTTCTTTCCGTCTCCGGACCCCAAGTTCTCGTTCGAAGAAGAGAGTCCTCCATGGTCATCCCCCGCCTCCTTTCGAAAACCCAGTCCCGCGGCCCCGCGGACCCTACAATGGCATTGGGAATAGCTATAGTCGGAATAGTTCATCAACTCAACATGAGGCTATCTCCGGGTCATCGTCGATGTTCATGGTCAATGGTCAATGAATGTCTGGAAACTCCTCCAGTCTCATATTCATGGTCTGGGTGTGTCTGGGTTAGGTACTGCTTCTATGACTTCACCTCCATGAGCTTCAGACCACAAGGGGGACTCCCCCGACCGGTCTGCCTCGGTCGGCGTGTCAGAAGGTCCCGACCGGTCAGGAACCTCCAGAGGTTGAAGAACCCGAACGTTCGACTATCCCATACCCAAACGCTCCATGGGACTGCCAGGACGGACTACCATAGGACTACGGCCAGGGGTGGTGACCAGAGGGGTCTTTCTGGGGCGGCAGTCCTATGGCAGTCCCATGGAGCGTCTGGGATATGTACCTCAGTAAGGTCCAGTAAGGTGCTATTTAGGGTCACTTAACATCTGATTCGAACGGATCCTGGTCATACCACGAGCACTCCGCCAGACGGCCCGCATGCGCGCGCCGTTCCCGGCCAGCGCTTCGCTTCGCATCCGCGGGCCGGTGAGGCAGTTGCGTTGGAAGTAGAGTGGGTTGAGAGGACCAATGGCACAATGCCCAAGTTCCGTGGCTTACACTCCCGAGTCAACTCACATGTCGACCCTGACGTCCTGGCCCCCTGGAAGATTGTTTTCCTCTACCAACCAGTGGTTTTCAGGGTCCATGTTAGTCTTCCAGGATGTTTGTGGACCCTCATCTGTCTAGGACGTCTTGGGGGAAACGTACCAACCTCTGATACCACTGTAGATGGCAGGAATGGGTGTATGCACTCGTGGAAATCATCGTGGTGCATGTGGGTGAAGTCAAGCCAAACGGTCCGCACCAAACTACTCCCCAAAAAAGCGGTTTTCGCTCTGTTGCTCAGGTGGTCTTCACATGTCTTCACTGCCTGAAACTCAGGTGGCCTTGGCCCCGCCCAAAAGCAAGTTCCAAGGAGCACAGTCAGTCGACGTCAAATCCTCGTGGCAGATTTGCACGTCTCAAACCAGTGCCCGGCACACACGCAAGAGAGAGGCCTCAGTTGGACCGCGAAAGGCCCTCAGCTGCACCGAAGGCGTTCAATCGCTCGAGGAGTCGGGGGGTGCTTGTTCGGACTCAGAAGTCTCAGAGGTTGGACCCAAGGGACCCCAAACAAGACTATGCTCCGGGTCCCAGATGTCAGATCTTTCAGGTCATGTTCCACCTCTCTAAAACGGAAACTCTTCGAAGCCGGTGGTGAGCGTGTCAACCTAGAGGTCCAGGACATGACCCAGTCTTCAGGCCCTGAAAACCTCCTTGACACGTGCTTTTTGGCCCTGAAAACCTCCAAAATCGGAGCTCTACCATCCACCCTGACCATCCTGACCAGTCGAGACAAAGTCCTCTCCGACCCACCTGCTGGGCCGACCCAGCCTTCACCTGCCCAGCTTCCGACGCGACTCAGGGGGACCCGACTGCGTCACCACGAGGGGACCGGTCGTCATCATCCTCCGACCCATAGAAATCCATTCCCTACAAGTCAGTTGGACCTCATTGTACTGGAGATGGTCATACAGAACCAATACATATGGAAGTAAAAAACCAGGTTTTACTGGGTCAAACTGGACTTGTAGGGATTCATTCCAGGCACCACTTGACCTGCACCTCTGGACATGACCTGAACAAGCAAGCAAACAGGTGCTTAAGATGGTACTTGTATATTCTATACCCATGAAATGCGAGGTACGAACTGGTCGACTCCAGGTATATAAATTCTTTCATCATCTTCATGGCATACCACAGAAGCACCGGCAGCATGAACATTGAGAGGTTTTGCAGCCACCAACCTGTTGTAGGCTGATGAGAAAATCCATCATGCAAACAAATTCTCCTTGTTGATGCCTTGATGTACACTTTTTGAATATGCATTTTCTTGAATCCTCGGGTGCGGTGCTCCTTCCTCATTCTGCCCCCGCTCTCCGGCACGCGAAGCCCACCCCTTCGAGGCCCAAGGCACCAGGAGCCCGCTGGCGGCGAACTCTGCGCCGGCGCCCGGGCCGCGGAACACCAAAGGCGTCGATTCCGGGAAGCGCTGGGACACCACGCGGACCTGAGTCGCGGAGGCTTTCGTGCGCGGCGGTCAGGCTGGGGGGTGGGCCGGTCGCCGCTTGTTTGGGCCATGGTGAAGGGGCGCATGGTCTTGATCGACCTGACTGGACTCTGAAAACACCCCATTCGTGTCGCCGAGCCATCGTGCCATGAGGTCGATGAGGGCGTGGATTTGTGGTATTGGAGGATCAAAGAATGTGCCATCATCCCATCAGTCATGTATGGATTAGGTGACTTCAATTCCAGGCATGACGTCTGCCAAAAGCCCTGGTTTCACTGACATGGGTCCACAGGCCCCGTCGAGGATCGTATGAAATCCTACCTTTTGCACCCTTGAAATCAATTGAATATTGACCTACCCCAGACACTCCATGTATGCCATATATGCCTATACATTGGGGTGGTTTGAGGGGTCAATGTATGTAAATATGCCATACATGGAGTGTCTGGGTACATCCGACATTTGCCATCCCAACATCCAAGTTACATTCAAGTAACATCTCCTCCTTAATTCATTCAAGGATCATAATGATTGACGGCTGTCACATCCCAAACACTGCATGCCTGGGACATGTACTGCCCCAGGAAGATGCCTTTTTCAATCAACCACCCTCAAACAGGTCGTCTCTCTCTCTCTCTCTCTCTCCCTCTATCCTATCTCCGGACTCTTGGAAGATTGGCCGATCAGTTGGGGTTTGAGGCTCGAGGTCTTCAGTGTCAAGAGTGCTTGGAGCGGACTTCTTTGAAGGGTCCGCACCCTGTGCCGGTACCTATGGACAGGGTGAACATTGCATACTATGCCAGGCTCGGTCGTTGAAGATCTTGGATCTGCTGATTACGGAAGCCGGACAACAGAATGGATGAAAACGTCTTCCCGTACCGGTACGGGGGACTCCTCCAGTTCGGCACCATCCAAAAATCACATCAAATCACCTGATCCTCCAAAAAAAAACTAAACCCTAAAGGGCCTAAACCCCTGTAAAACCCCTAAACCCTCCAAACAAACTCATTATAGGCCCTTCTTGTGGCTGGTGTTCTGCACCTCTTCCGCCGGAGGTCGCAGCCGGGCCGCTGCGAAGTCGGCGTCGTTGAGCGCGAAGGGAGGGCCCTTCGCGCTGAAGCGATGAATGCCGGCAGAGACCTGCGACGTGTGAACGAACGTGGGTCTCGTTCCGCGCCAAAAGCTGAAGTTGATGCGGGTCTTGAAGTGGGCAGGCTGCTTGTTTTAGTTTTGATTGGGGGAATATGGTGTTTTGTTGGCCAAGCATGTACATGCCTTAGGTCACTTGCGGGTCCTTCGATTTAAGGGCTTTTGGTGATTGAAGTGGTCCTAGCAAAGCCCTCTAGATCCTCTTATAGCCTAGTACACCTCATGGAGGGCCCACGACCTGTCAAGCCGACGGTCCAGTGAAACGGCCCACGTCCAGGAGCCCCACATGATATGCACCAAGATGTTGGCGGGTGCCATGTCAGTCTTTCACCAAGGGCGTGAAGTTGAGAGACAGTAGTCGACAGTCGACAGGTGTATCATCTGAAAGAATACCAGTGTAATGTACGAATGCCGCATAATCTCATGCCACTAGTGGCTTGCTTCTCTCTCGCTCTCTCTCTCCATTTCTGTCTCTAGGACTTCCATCTCATCTCCTCAACGACTCACCACCCAAACTTGCACCAACCGCCTTCGCCGCCCGGACCAACCACTCGCAGCCTTGCCCTTCTGCACATCGATTTCGCCCACATAGTACAGGAGCTCTCCCTTCTCCCGGGCTTCTCGGAACCTCGTCTTCCCGCGCGACCGACCGCGCGACCGACATGAAAGCACGAAAGGACTCGCGAAAGGACGAAAGGACCATCTGCTTCCGGAAGTGGTTGGTCAAAGGGAAAGCAATGACACAGCCAAGGGGAAAGTACAAACA